TCACAGAGACCAGGCTTTATCCTCCCTTGTATCTCTAACTATATCCAGAACTCAGGTCTCATCTTCCTTTAACAGCTGCGGAACCTTAACAAAGTTACCACGTTCTCAGATTCAGTGTCCTTATTTGTCAAACAGAGATCATTATCATACCTTCCTCATGAGGTTTTCAAAAGATTAGGTGAAACAGTGATAGAATATATGTCAAGCACTTAGCAGGGTGCTTCCCAGCACGCAACAGATGCTCAATAAATGGTAGTTGGCCTTACTGTTAGTGCCTGGGATCTGTCTTTGTGCTATCTACCTGCTATGTAAAAATTGTAAATTGTGCCTCAGATCATGTTACTTTCCTTCTCCATGCTTTAGGTACCTTGTCACGTACAGATAAAAATCTAACCTCAAGGGCACCAAGGCTGCATAATGAATCTTGTGGGCCCTAAGCACTTTGGCCTTCACAGAAAAACAATAAAACAACAATTTAAAAAAGAGTATTAAAAATCTTATTTGATAACTGTGTCTTTCTGATTTTAAAAGAAATTTAAACATCTTCCTGAACCCTTAAAAATATTGGGGGACCTAGGCACTGTGTTTACTGTGATGAATAGAGAAGTCCTCCCTCAAGGGACCATGTACCTTCTCTCTCTCTCTCTTTTTATCCCCAGTCTTGCTGATGTTATTTCCTCCCACCCATCTTTTTTTCTTTTAGTTTCTCTCTCTCTCTTTCCTCCCTCCCTCCCTCCCTTCGTTCCTTCCTTTCTTCCTCCCTTCCTCTCTCTCCATCTGTCCCTGTTACTCCTTTCTTACTTGATGTCTTTCTTTTGTTTCATTAGTTTTTGTTCTTTTGTTTATTATTGTTTTCTTTGGGCTTCCTCTCTTTTTTTTTTTTTTCTAATTCCTTGGGTTATATGCTTACCTTATTAATTATCAGTTCTTCCTTTCCCCCCCTTAATATATGCATTTATATAGTTACTTCCAAGTATTGCATTAGCACGATCCTACAAGCTTTGAGATGTACTGTTTCATGTTCTGTTAGTTTCATGTAACTTCTAATGGCAATATGATTAATTATTTGACCCACATTTGTTTTAGAAGTCTTTTAAAACTGCCCAAATGTGTGAATCCTTTGTGGTATTTTTATTGTTGGGTTCTGTTTTTTATTGCTTTATGTTCAAAGATGATCTGTAAGCTAAATTGAGACTTGTTTGTGGCCTGTCAATTGTTTAAATGTTCCATATACTCTTGTAGAGAATATACGATTATTAGAAAGTCAGGTACAATGTCCATTAGATCAAACATCTTAATTTTGTTGTTCAGTTCTACCGTATCTTTGCTAAATTTTTGTCCTTATCTGTTCAGTACTGAGAGATATGTTAATATTTCCCACTATGATTGTGGATTTGTTAATTTCTTCTTGTAATGTGGTCCATTTTTGCTTTATGTAATTTGAAGCTATGTTGTTAGGTGCTTGGTAGTTTGTAATTCCTAAGAGCTTCTGGTGGATTGTTACTTTTATCATTATGTAATGACCTTCTTCATCCCCATAAGGCTGTTTGCCCTAAAGTCTGTTTTTATCTGATGTTTATAGAGTGATTCCAGCTTTCTTTTGGTTAGTATTGTCATGGTCTATATTTTCTTTATCCAATTCCACTCTGTTTTTTAATATTGATTGTATTCATTTTGTGTAGTTACTATAACCAGTTACCATAATCTTGATGGCTTAAAACAACAGAAATGTTTTCTCTCACAGTTTGAGGCTAGAATTCTGAAATCAAGATGTTGGCCGAGCCATGCTTTCTCTGAAGGGTCTAGGAAGTAATCCTCCCTTTCCTTTTCCTAGCTTCTGGGGGTTGTTAGAATCCTGGGCATTGCTTGGCTTGCAGCTGTATCCTTCAGTATCTGTTGTCAAATGACCTTCTTCCCTCTGTGTATCTATCTCTAAATTTTTCTCATATGAGTGCACCATATTTTCTCATATGAGTGCACCAAATTAATCAAACCTTAATTTGATTACATATGCAAAACCCCTATTTCCAAATAAGGTCATACTCATAGGTTCAGAGTAGACAGGGGGCCACTGATCAACTCAGTACCTTCATAATTCGAAATTATGAAACATTTAAGGTGTACAAAAGGTCCCGTATTCTGTGCACGTTTGAGCTCCAAAACGCCAGCCTTTAGTTAATGAGCAATGCATCCTTCACCCCATCCCAGCAGATAGAGTCTCAGCTCTGATTATAACTTACCTCTGGGTGTTTCCTTTAACTTATTGCAAGCTCAGCTATGCATTTACAGTATTAAAAATTTTTTCATTCAGAATTTCTAGGTAGTTTATTGGAAAGTTTTCCTGTTGTTTTAGCCTTCCATCTTGCTGGAAATAGAACTACCATAAGTGGGTTTTTAAAAATAGCTTTATTGAGATTTTTTTCACATGATGTCATTCATCCACTGAACGTGTACAATTTAGTGGCTTTTAGTATATTCACAAAGTTGTGCAAACATCACCACACTCTATTTCTGGAACATTTACATCGCCCAAAAAGACACTCGATACACATTAGCAGTCACTCCCCATTCCCTCCCCAAATACCCACCACCCTAAGCAGATACAGATCTACTTTCTATCTCTATAGATGTGCCTATTCTGTGCATTTCAGGTAAACAGAACCATACGGTATGCAGTCTTTCCTGTCCAGCATTATTTCTTCGGCATGTTTTAAGGTTCACTCATGTATATATCACTACAGACAGTCTCTGACTTTCAGTGGTTCGATTTATGATTTTTTTGACTTTATGATGGTACAAAAGTGATAAGCATTCAGTAGAAACCATACTTTGAATTTTGATCTTTTCCTGAGCCAGCAATATGCAGTAGGGTACTGTCTTATGGTGCTGGGCAGTGGCAGCGAGCCACAGCGCCCAGTCAGTCACGTAACATGAAGGTAAACAACCAACACACTTACAACCATTTTGTACCCATGCAACCATTCTGTTTTACACTTTCAGTACAGTATTCAATAAATTCCATGAGATATTCAACACTCTTTATTATAAAACATGCTTTGTGTTAGAATGAGTTTGCCCAACTGTAGGTGAGTGTTCTGAGCACGTTTAAGGGAGGCTAGGCTAAGCTATGATGTTTGGTAGGTTAGATGTTTTAAATGCATTTTCAACTTACGATATTTTCAACTTATGATGGGTTTATCGGGATGTAACTCTTTTGTAAGTTGAGGAAGATCTGTACTTTTTTAAAAAGATAGTTTTTTTATTGCCAGATAGTATCACATTGCGTGGATGTACCACATTTTGTTTTATTCACTTATCAGCTAATAGACACAGCTAATATGAATAATGCTTCTATGAACATTTGTGTACAAGTTTTCAAGTGGGCATATCTTTTCAGTTCTCTAGGGTAAAAAATGGAACTGCTGGATCATATGGGAAAACTACGCTTAGCATTTTGAAGAACTGCCAAAGTATTTTCCAAAGTAGCCGCACCATTGTGCATTCCCACTAGTAATGTCCTATCGGGAGTGATTTTAAAATCCAACACAGGTGTCTGTACTCGACCTGGGATGAGCCCTTACAGATTTTGGAGCACAGTGAAGGTGATGTTATTGGAATGGTTGGTGCACGGTGATGTGGCATGAGAGATTAAAGACCAGGAAGCAGGTCACTTCTTGTGACCAGGAAGTGTTGGAGTAATCCAGTTCTCAGTTGATGGTTCCTCTGTTGGGCTGGTGGAGGGCAGAAAAGATGTCAGGGTTCCCGAAAAACACCATGGACGGTGGAAATGATTCTCAGGTAGCAAAATGATGTTCACTTGAGACCAATCCTGAGATGCTTGCTGAACCTTTCCTTTTTGATTTTATATCACAGAAAATAAATTTTTATTTTCAGAGAAGCAGGAAACGGAATACAGGTGTTGCCGTTATGGGGTGGAGGAGCATCCTGTGACTGGAGCAGGTTTACTGGCCTTTGACTTACTTGAGGATGCCTTCCTGGGAGTCTGTGGTCCTCCTAGGCTTTGTGGTCTGCCCTCCATGAAAGCTGAGGATGCTTTTTACATCTCTGGTCCATGGTCTTCCTGCCCGTGGCAGGAAGTGGGGTGTGTGTGTGTGCACACGCCTGACGGTGAACAGGGTAGCTTGAGCGTTTGAAATAGCAAAAGAGAATGAGAGCCCTTAACAGCAAAAGTTTTCAAGCCGAGAAGTAAAACCTCCCATAACTGTAGGATTTAAAAATTACCCATCAGGCTGTTTATCGTTTAATGGAACAATAGGTATAAAGCTACCACCATCCTGGGAACGTGCAGTTGCTCGGTGAGGCTTGTTACCGAGGCCTTCTACTCTTCTGGGCACGGTTATCACCCTTGTGGGTTTTTCTTCTCTGTGATTTATTCTCAAACATTTTGTATTTCCTTTTTGCCATTTAAATGAGATTTAGATAAAACCATTAGGTATAGAACAGTGGCAGATGGCTACACACTTTAAACTCATGATAAAATTAATCTGTATATTATTCTCTGTTCAAATGAAGCAAAAACACCAGCAGTCTGGAAGTTCCTTATCGCTGCCTTTTCTGTGTTGCACTGCACATCTCCTGGAATATCTAGCCTTGTGGTAATTGATCATGAAGAAAGGAAATCAGGCAGGGATGACAGCCCGAGTTCTGTCCCATTTTGTGTGTCTTTCTTGGTCCACGTGTCCCCTGCTTTTGGCAGTCTCTCCCTTTCATAGACCGCCCCTGCCATCCACCCCATTTCCCAAAAGGAGGGAGAGGCTCTTCATGGGTGACCAGCCTTAACCCCACACCTCACAGTTGCTCTGACCTTCCTCTCAATTGAAATGTGTTCAGGGCATATTCCGATATCAATAAATTGAGAACATAATTTTTTCTGCAACGGGTAATGTTAAAATTTCCACTGAAGCTATATCTGAGCCTGAGTGGCATATCCTGGTATGGTGATTTTCAAATAATTCTTTTTCTCCCCCTCCTTTTTCTAGGTTTATCTAAATCCCTTGGGCTCATTGAAGGTTATGGTGGGCGGGGCAAAGGGGGCCTTCCTGCTACCCTTTCCCCGGCTGAAGAAGAGAAAGCCAAGGGACCCCATGAGAAGTATGGCTACAATTCCTACCTCAGTGAAAAAATTTCACTGGATCGTTCCATTCCGGATTATCGTCCCACCAAGTAAGTTCTGATTCAGTCATTCAGAGGAGCTTGCTTTATCAGATGGTTGGGCGTAGACCCATGTCTGTGATATTTTCTTGTGTTACTTGTACCTAGTGGAGGAGCTTTTATCTCGTCTCCTCCATAATCAATAAATAGTACTATTGATTATGAAAATAAATAGAGCTAAATAAGAATTCTTAATTTTTATAAAATAATACAGAAGCATAGAGAAAGGTCCGTGATACAAAAAATTTTTAAGTAAAAATTTAAAAATCAACATGATCTCATTACCTAGAGGTGGTGACTAGTAAAATACTAGTATTTTGTCTTTGAATCTATTTCTATACAGATTATGAGCATATGATGTGTTTCATTTATCCTTTTTTTCATTTATTATTTCATGAGCATTTTCTGATGTTATTAGTTATGATCATTATTTTCATTGTTAGAAATCTAGATTATTTCCAAATTTTCATTATTATAAATATGAAATATTTATAATATTATAAATATTTATAATTTTTATAAGATAAAATTTCATTTTTATAAATAAAAATTGATAAAAAATTTATTTAAAAATTTTCATTATTATAAATAACACTTGGATGGATATCTCCCCACTCAAATCTTTATGTATATTGATTTGATATTTACTTTCTTAATCCACACTTCTAAAGGTGTAATCCTTAGATCACATTGTAGGAGTACTTTTGGAGGCTCTCGATACATATAGTGATATTTTCCTCCAGAAAGTTTATAGAAGTTTCTGCTCCTATTGGAACTTTACTAGACCCTTCCCAAACTGGGTACTAGCATTTAAATAATGCTTTTCCCAGCTGGTAGGTGAAAGAGTACATCCTGTGATTGTTTCAACTTACAATTTTTTGTTTGAGATTCTTACCTTTGAAACAGTTTGTTTGCGTCTTGGTTGGTTTATGAGAGGTCTTTGTTCTGTGCCCTCAGATTTAAGAATTATTTGTTTTCTCCTTGTGAAAGAGAGAAGAGAGATTGGTGGGAAAATCAAGATGCTGGGGGAAAATATCCTATTTTCTAGGCAGTAGTCCTCCTTGGCTTTTCAAACAGATACTTCATCTTCTGTTAGATTTGTGGTGTCTCTCTTTCTTTCGTTTGCAGTGTGCCCTTGCTTGGAGTAGATTATTTCTTTTTCAAATGGGTTTTGTACGAATCAGTTAAGTATCCTGGTTACTGAGAAAAATAGATTCAAGATAAGGAAAATTACCTTAAATGAATTTAAAATTGCAGCATTAGCTGAGAAAACTGTTAAATCTCTCTCTCTGCCTAATAAGCATATATTCATTTTGAATCACTAGGAAAACATACATCACCCCTGTTGGAAGCTATTTTGTGTTCCTGGACTTTTGCTCTCAAAAACATCTGGCTGTTTTCATTTCCTGGTGCTCTCTGATTAGCCTTTCTTATTTGGATGTTGGCAAATAAACAGAGCTGTTATTTTTGTAGTCCTGTGAGAATGAAGATGCTTCCAACATGGAGCTTAGTGGAAATGGGTCAGTTGAACAATATCAGTGAGCACGTATTATGTACCAGATGGTTTTCCCCACACTAGGGGCAGAACATTGGATAAGATAGTCCTTGCCTACATACTCTTGTCTGGGGAGGGAGACAGATGTGCAAGCAGGTCAGTCCAGCACATTGTGGTCTATGTGGGTATGTCAGGCCAGAGACATACACAGTATGTACAGGGAGGATCTGGGAAGGTTTCCTGCTTGAGATGACGCAGAAGCTTAGTCTTGAAGGCCCATTAAGGGTTAGAAAATTAAAGAGCGGAGACAGATAAAGACAAGTAGGAAGGGGAATAGCAAGATCAGAGCTGGGGATGCAGATAAAAACATGGCACGCCCAGGCAGGAATACACAGCTCTGTGGTGCTCTATAGTGTAGCATGGTGGCTTGAATATACCAGGGGTCCCCAACCCCCAGGCCGCAGACCGGTACTGGTCCGTGGCCTGTTAGGAACCGGGCCGCACAGCAGGAGGTGAGCGGTGGACGAGTGAGTGAAGCTTCCTCTGCCGCTCCCCGTCGCTCGCATTACCGCCTGGACCACCCCCTTCCCCCCCAACCCCGCGCCCATGGAAAAATTGTCTTCCAGGAAACCGGTCCCTGGTGCCAAAATGTTTGGGGACTGCTGGAATACACCACTTAGATTTCTTCCCTCCGGAAACTTTACTAAGATGATAGTAAAGGACTACAGAGGATGACAGACTCTAAGGGACAAAAACAGGTTAGGCTCCCACAGCAGGGAAGAAACACCCACAAAGTTTTGGAAGATGGAAAGAGGATGGATGAATGGTAACTGACATAGCAAACTGGATGAGGCTGAGACCCAACCTTCTACATATGATGGGAAGTGGGGGGAAGGGCAGAAGAATATAGCCTAGTCACACCTCAGAACCCCAGAGACTCAGGAATTGGAGATTCTGGGTACCTCTGATGGCTGGGAGGTAGATTTGAATAGAAGGATTATAGCTGTGTCCCCAGATCCTTTCTTCAACTTTACAGAGCCAGACGCTGCCCTTCCCTACCTGGTGGAACATGGGAGGTTTATTCCCTGGAGATGGTGAACTCTGGGCTTTAGTTCATAAGATGACAGAAGATAGGGCTGTGTACTAAGTGGGGACACCCTTGGCCTCATTACCTCTGCAAGCTTTCACACTCCTGTAGTCCAGATTTGGAAGAATCCACTCTAAGGAAGCCATTCAACCTAAGAGAAATGCCAATAGATCTGATAGGTGCCCCGCATCCCCGAAATGTCAGGGTTCTACTCATTAAACATTAGTAAGGCTCATCCATCTACACAGAGCTGTCTTACTCTAAAGTAAGAAAGGAGAACCAGAATCCCTAGACATTTCAGGAGAATCTGTATTATAAAGGGCCTTAGCAACAAGAAGAAGAACAATAGAAAAGGCATTTGGAGGAAACAGACACACTTTAAAACTATAATTAATGTCTTAGTTCATGGAATGTTCTGTTTTATTCACAAAATAAGAATCAAGTGCTATGTTAAAGTGATAATCAGAGAATGAACAAGAGGTCTTGGAAGTTAAGAATAAGATAGAAATAAATAGTTCAATGAAAGTTTAGATAAATAAATTATTGTGGCGATCACTTCAAAATATATACAAATATCGAATCATTATGTTATATACCTGAAACTAATACCAGGTTATATAGCCACCGTGCTGTACAGTACATCCTCATGACTTATTTTATAACCGGAGTTTGTACCTGTTGACTCACTTCATCCATCCCCACCCCCTCCTCACCTCTGGCAACTGTGATCTGTTCTGTCAATGAACTTGGGTTTGTTTTTTAAGAGTCTGTGTATAAGTGGGATCTTACAGTATTTGTTTCTCTGACTTCCTTCACTTAGCATAATGCCCCCAAAGTCTATTCATGTCATTGCAGTTGGCAAAATTTCATTCTTTTTATGGCTGACTCATATCTATATGTATCACATTCTCTTTATCCATTCATCCATTTGTGTACACTTAGTTTGTTTCCATATTGTGCCTATTGTAAATAATGCTGCAGTAAACATGGGGAGGGTGAATATATCTTTGTGAATTAGTGTTTTATTTTTGTTTTTTTTTGCGGTACGCGGGCCTCTCACCGTTGTGGCCTCTCCCGTTGCGGAGCACAGGCTCTGGACGCGCAGGCTCAGTGGCCATGGCTCACGGTCCCAGCCACTCTGCAGCATGTGGGATCTTCCCGGACCGGGGCACGAACCTGTGTCCCCTGCATTGGCAGGCAGACTCTCAACCACTGCGCCACCAGGGAAGCCCTGTTTTTGTTGTTTTTTATATAAATACCCAGAAGTGGAATTGCTAGATCATATGGTAGTTCTATTTTTAATTTTTTGAGAAACCTCCACATTGATTTCCATAGTGGCTGCACCAACTTAGATATCTAGCAACAGTGCAACAGGCTCCCTTTTCTCCACATCCTCGCCAACACTTGTTTTTCTAGTCTTTTTGTTAATAGCCATTCTAACAGGTGTGAGGTGATATCTCCCTCTTTTTTTTTTTTTGGCTGCATTGGTCTTCATTGCTGCGCGCGGGCTTTCTCTAGTTGCGGCGAGCAGGGACTACTCTTCGTTGCGGTGCGCGGACTTCTCATTGCGGTGGCTTCTCTTGTTGTGGAGCGCACGGGCTCAGTAGTTGCAGCTCACGGGCTGTAGAGCGCAGGCTCAGTAGTTGTAGCGCACGGGCTCAGTTGCTCCACAGCGTGTGGGATCTTCCCAGAGCAGGACTCGAACCCGTGTGCTCTGCATGGGCGGGCGGATTCTTAACCACTGCGCCACCAGGGAAGTCCCTCTCATTGTTTTTTATTTACATTTGCCTGATGATTAGTGATGTTGAGCATCTTTTCATGTACCTGTTGCCCATCTGTATATCTTCTTTGGAAAAGTGTCTATTCAGATCCTCTGCCCATTTTTAAATCAGATTGTATGGGGGTTTTTTGCTGTTGAGTTATATTAATGCTTTATATATTTTAGACATTAATCTCATCAGATTTATGATTTGCAAATACTTTCTCCCATTCAGTAGGTCGTCTTTTCATTTTGTTGATGGTTTTCTTTGCTGTGAAGAAACGAATTTAGTCCCCCTTATTTATTTTTGCTTTTGTTGTCTTTGCAAACAAAAAAAATTTTTTTACCATTCTTTCAGAAAGTTTGGAACTGAATTAGTGATGGGCACACACACACACACAAAGCTTGTGAAAAAGGAAAGCAATTATTAGCACAGAAAAAAACCAAAAGTTCCTCAAGAAAGGAACTGCAATTCCATATATTGTGTGGCTGAGCTGTGAACAATATAACCATACGAATATTGAATAGGTATTAAACCACAAGTTATGCTATAACTCTGTTGGAAGAAAGAAGAGGCAAAATGTGTATGTGAGGTGTGGGTAGTATAAGAAAATTAAACCTTTATGGTCAGAAACAGAAAATGAGTTGAAAATATCTAAAATTTAAACATC